CAATCCATTCCGAGCGTCAGGCACAGCCAATCGCGATGACTGCACAGTGAACCTTACAACAGATATATTCCAGACTTATTAAGGACGTCTTGTATTCCTGAAAAGCGAAAATTATAACAGGGTAGATATGCAATGACTAAGGCTCTGATCAATTCATCAAGAAAATGTTTAATAATATATATCCATAAAACTGATTATTAGGGATGCATTTTCTAAAGTTATTCACTAGTGTTACTTTTGAAAGTAGAAAGTGGTTGAAAGGAGTAGAGTAATCCAGTTCGAACTTTAGATGCCAGACTTGAAGCAAAGGAAAAGACAGTATCACATTGTAGGGATCTTATAGAAGTTATATGCTTTAATAAAATCTGTTATTAAGAATGTCCAAATGCAAGTAGAATTCTTAAAAACTGTTTATATAGGCGTGTTGACGACCATCCCCATTAACTGGAATGACCTAGAAAATTGGTGTACCGTCTAAAAACAAAGCCAATATGGTGTTGCGGAGAATGCTTGAGGAACACAAATAAATACAATAATATTTGCAAATGCAATTCGCAGCTTGAAGTACAACATGGAACTGTTCATGTTAGTGAATGGTCATCGATGCACGTAGGGATGGATGGACGGACGGAAGCAAGTACTGTTTGCGAACGAAGTATGCAACAATTGGAATGGCATGCAATGGAGCACACAATGCATGGATCATGAAACTGGATAGGAAAAAAATTATTAGCACTCTAGCATTTGCGAAAATGCTAAGATGAAAACGGCGGTGCGTTTACGGTGCAGTCATTTCAGCAGAAACTATGCTCGTGCATTTTCAGATATGTGCACTAAAGTATTTACTCGCATTGCTATTGAATAACATAAGCAACTGATGTATGTGCTCGAAATGTTATCTTGTCTAGGAATTAAATGGCGTACGCAGTGCACAGGCATTCAAGGAAGCTACTCGCAGTAAGGGAATGTCTAATTTATTTGTAGTGCCGAGAGTAAAGGAGCTACAGTTGGGTTATCACTGATTCACGGGAATGTTTATTGGAAATTGTTTAAAGCATATTGAATGGATTTTATAATTCTTCATAAGTAAACATACAAACATATGCATGGATATATTTCTACACAAAATAAATCAGTTTACACTTCTATACTTTAGAAATGGTTATTTGCCAATTGAAGTAAACGTTTAAGAAAGGGAAGTGCACTTGTTTTGTACCATAAAGTGCAAAATTATTCTGTAATAAATTAATTAAAAAGTAAGTAAGGAATTAAATGTGTTTGCATAACAATAAATAGTTACATCTGAGTCCTACGAATGCACTAAATAATCCACCCATGCCAAGTATGTAACTTGATGTAAGCATGGTGTACATGTACTTAGGAGTATTTGATTGCAATGATTCATAAAGTAGAAAGGTGATTAAAATGTATCTATTCATGCATACAAATATATTTTCTACCGTTTCAATAACTTATAAATTCGAGAGGTGATTCCTTCACACTAAATGTGGCCCTCTTTAGTGTAAATAACGACACGTTTATGAAAACAAAGCGTTGCCAAAAATTAATATGTACCTTGTACCTAATGTTGCAATATTGTATATAGATTATGCATATATGAAATTATCGAGCTTAGTGTCCACATATACAGATCATCTAAGTATTTTCCATTTTCCAAGCAGATATACTCACCATCGAAAGAGTAATCTGTTCAAAGATTGCAAGAGACGAGATATAACCATGCTGTAGGACAATCAGTTGTGCTAGGTTATCCTGAAAGTACGTATGGGATTATCTAATAAAGGCATTCTCAACTGTGTTTCTGAACATAAAGTAATATGTTCATCGGAAGTAACCAAGCCGATGAGCAATAAGGGAATTCCTGGGCAATGATGGACAACACTGCAATAGGAGGAAGCAAAAGAGCAAGAACTTCTTTCAGGCCTTACAAGTTTGAGCCAATCTGAATTGCTATTAAGTAACCATAACAGTATGAGACTCAAAATCTGTGAAGTTTTATTCAAAACTATATTAACAGTGTTAACTGTGATCAATAAACTATTGAGCATCAAGCCCCATATGTATATAATGTCATGTAGAATATAAGTTGCCTCAGTTTAAACTAGAAAAATGCAATCCACTAATGCACAAAGGACGGAAATACTTAGCAATACTAAATTTAACTGAAATTCTCGAGTTTTTATGTTCAACAGAACTGGATAAGGTCTTATAATATTGGAATTACGCTGGTTGCATTAATTTATATAGCTCGCTTTCAAACATAGTTGTTGGCACTTCTTACAAAAGGCCCATCATATGACGTTAAGAAGACATAGGAACAACCATCAAAGTGTGAGTTAAAAAATTAAATTTGGTTTTTTTTTTCATCTACAGTGAACAAATTACTTCTATTTGATCACATTTGTCACCCATAAAGCGTATGGGGAATAATAAAAGTCAAGAGGAACCTAAAAGTTGGCAGCAGCAAATTTAGGGCATTTGGTTTCAGTTTGGGTGAACTAATTCCCGCCAGCTTACCGAACACAAAGCAGACCGTAATTACGAATACTGGCCGGCTTACACTCGATTCTGAATGTATACATGTGTATATGTTTTTGTGTATGCGTGTATTTAGGCACATGTGAGTTATGAGTTCGTCTATATGTTGAGCGCTTTATTGATGGACTTGACTTTACAATTTTTTGCTATTTTTTATTTTCTTTTCCGTGTTTAATTTTTTCAATTGTTCTTTTCTTCTTTCTCTATTCTTTTTTGTTTGAATTTTTTTTGTAGTCAAGAATAGAATTTTTTGAAACTGCAAATGGGTCGGGTCCTTGCATCAATAACATGCAATGTTTAATTGTGTGTGTGAAGGTTTACATCACTGGTCGATGTTGTTCCAAAATTGTTTATTTGTTTTTCTTATGTTTAATGCTCTTCAATTTCTTTAACTTGTTTTGACTGTTATTCATTATAAAATTTCAAAAACATATTTTGTAGGTACAGAGGATAGAAATATGTTCTCAAACAATTTTAAAATTTTCCGTCTCCTAAAAGTATACAACGTAATTTCATCTGACATTCAGTTGTGATTTCATATGTGAATTTTTGGAGTATATGATAATTATTATTGGTGGGGGAGAAGGAGCAAGAGAGAAATTATTTACTACAGAGGAAGTAGATTGACGTACAATGCAACGAAAGTAACATAGTTTCGGTGCAGTAAGACAAATTAGACTGTGGTTAGAAAAAGTTTCTGAACCTTTGAATCTTTCTGTGTTTAAGGCTTTATTACATAAAGTTAATATTTAATTAATAAATCATACCTGCCAAAGAAAGTAATACTTTTCAAAGAGGATGGTAATAAATTCACTAACAGTCAGCCTATGCTGTAACAAACTCATAATAATTTTAATATAAATCATTTCGATTAGTATTCTTTTATTAACTTTCACATATTGGGATTAAAGCTAAGTGACTTAACATATATTTTTATAGATTTTTTAAAGTAAAAATTAAAGTAATCATCCATTTATATTACATATGATAAGTACATCAAAGAATATGTCTAAGATAGAATGTCATAGTTTTCCAGAGTGTTGTCATATCCAAAGTAGTAATACTAACATTTAGAATTTTATAAATTTAAACGCCATCATAGTTAAGATATTAGAGTATTAATAATATAAAGTATTAAATTAAAAAAATACACACTTAATATTTGTATTACAGGCTACCTAGTCTAACCTATTACTAGTGGCTCAGGTCTCGGTAGCAGTAAGTCATTACAAAACCTACTTTTACTCTCATTAATAATATTTTGCTCTCTTCTTCCGAGCTTCTACTTCTTGCGTATGGTCAATCTACCTTTTAAGTTGGACCGAACCTAAGAGCTTAATATGCTGTATAATACGACAGTATTAACTGGATATCTTTAAAAATAGAAAACTTAAGAAAAAATAATGAACAATATTTATTTTATTTAATTAAAAATACACCGGAATTGCTTGGTTGAAAACCAAAAATGTGTATTCAATTTTTTTGAACTAACAACATTCCAAAACGTTTAATTAGTAAGTTAATATGTAACTTAATTGGAATCATGTGATTTTGTAGAGAAAAGATATTACAAATAATCAGTTAATATAAATTGAGTTTTTTAGTTTCGATGTTGGTTTTTTCCTATCATTTATCAAAATCAACAAAAAAGTGAGTTGCTCCTTTTACTGAAGATTTTCAAAGCCAATCATCCTTGCACATATCGCATTTTCATTGCATTTGCTGTTACCACTGCTATTGGTATTAGGATTGCTTCATATCTCATACCTCCACATGCTACATTCCTCATTCACAACTCTGCCTAGTCACTAGCATGGAAATTGAGGCTCGCAATAGAAAGTTACAATGTAAGTCGTAGGTCGTTGTTGTCTGTGGAAACGCTTTCCACTTAACCAGTTTTGCAATCATCATCAGCATCACCATCACTATCATCGGCAACAAAAACAAGTTACAATAACATTAGCAACAACAGCAACAGCAACAGCAACAGCAATAACAACAACAAAAGCTTAAATGGTTACATCAATTTGGATTTTGTATAGTCGACATACGATTTGAAGCAATGCTTGCCATTTCAAGCGAAGTGAAGGGGTTGAGCATGGATAGGCAATCAGCCAACATTGATTCTATGGGTCTATGAAGCCATTGTACGACTGTGTTTGTGTATTCTTGTACTGTTGCTTTTTAGATATAAATGCAAACTATACCCTACTTTTATATACTTTTATACTAGCAGATACAGACACAAATTCGAGTATGTGAGTATCATTGCAGCTATGTGTGAAGAGTTGAAAGCACGAGACCAATAGTAGCTGGTAAGTATCGTCAAAGGATATTTAGCAATAGTTCAGTTTACTCGAGGTATCTACAATTGCAACTACATGCATTGGCATGGAGCTCATACGCTATAAGGTTTGTGTGAATGTTGGCTTATGACTTACCATTTCTGTTTTCGCTGTCAGCCGGCTTCATTTGAATTGGATGATGCATCTGAAAAGAATCAAATGGAAAGTATACAGTCAGCACATTGAACACTAAAGACAAATGTAGAGGAAAATGCTAAAAGAAATTATTGCGTATACAAATGTGTAGATAGAAGCAGAGATAGATAGGTAGATAGATAGACAGATACGTGTAGTGTGTTTAACTGAAAGTAGTTTTGCTAACTCGCATACGAATGCGAGAATGTATCGGAAAGGAACAGATTAAAAAAATTATTAAAAATTTTTTATTTAAAAAATATCAATTGGCAGATGCGTTGTATTTTCCGGCACATTTAAGTTTTTTGATTCCAAGTTTTTAACTATAAATTTTTATTTTAATTTGTTTAGATTTCTTTTTTTTTCTATTCCATTGTATGCTTGGTACTTCGATCAGTCTAACCCTCTTCATTACTTTTCGTTGTATTCGTTCAAGTTTGAAAATTGAAAGAGTTAACAAGGTGTATTTTTCACTCTAATACTCTGCATTGTGCTCCAGATCAAGCCAGGCCAGGTCAAGTTAGCCCGGCTTCACTTAGACTAGATGAAGTCAGGTATTGCCATTGGCATCTGGCGGAGGAAAATTACTTTTCAATGGAATTCAGTTTCCATTCCCTCCCTGTCTATTAGTATTGTCACACTCTTGTATGTGTTTTCTTTATATTATTAATGACACAAATAAATGATTCAACTGTATTCAATTGGAGATGGTTAATATTGGATTGGATTGGATTCCATGGCATACAATGGCTTGCATCGATAAATACTTCGATAAAGAAGCAAGTTTTTATTTTTCTCGCAAATAATGATGCTTTTTCATAAAAGTTTCATCTGTAGTGCAATAGGATAAAAATAAAATATCCTATATCCTAGATAGAATCAAATTTTTTGTCTTCAACAGGAGGATTCCTAATATCGTGATTCCAGAACTTGTTTTTGTTGTTGTGTCGACAAAATAGTTTTTAAAAAATTAAGTAATTTGAGATCCCACTAAGACAATGTGCTGTTATATGAATAAGTTATCCATCGGTAATCAATCTTTTAGTCATTTAATGTCTGAGTTGTAGATTGATTATACCATATCTTCCCTGTCTATGGAAACTTTTTAGTATGTTTTAGTTAGAATGAAATGATATCTTAATTACTTATTCTCATGTTTATAAGTAGAGGCACAATAACCTGATGTTATTTTTCTCAACAAACCCGCTATAAAATTCGCTGAGTGGTGAGCAAAAGGACCAAGACTCCTAAAAGTTCTTAGGTCTTATAAATCTGCTTCGACCCCTGGCCCTCTCATCACTCTTAAAGTTGGAAGCGATAGATTTTAATTGATAATTATGTCACCACTCCCACCATTTTATCAACATATTCAATACTCCAAGGACGTAACTTTTATTCACTGAGTATATGAAGTGAAACTATCTTTCGGAATGCACTCATTATAGAATATGTATTTAATGAGGAACATGAAAACAAATAACTTTTACAAGTTATTGATGGGACTTTCCCTTTCATATTATTTTTTTTATGCCGACTAAAATCAAATCTTATGGTTGTTGTTGTTCTTGGTGTTCCCCGTAACATAGCGCGTAGACGTCTATGGTTGCGTGCAATCAACAGCCAATTAGTGGATCGAATTGAGTACAGACAGCGCTCACTGCTAACATATTAAATGGGTCAAGCACACATATTGTGAACACATATTGATATGCAATGTAAGCACGCATGAGAAGAACACTCACACATACGCATATGAATACTTAGTTGCACACACACACACACACACACGCACGCACTTTACAACTTTGAAAAACTAATGGAAAATCTATACAATAAAGACGAAAATTTTAACAGGAACAAGAGCTGTTAGTGCTGGCAGGCGGCATACGTCGCGCCCCTCTCACTCAGCCCGGCGTAGGCGGCTGAGTAGGGTGCGCATTGCATTTAATTGTCGAAATAATGATCACATGTGTGACAGTCGCGTTGCGCTTGTTGTTGGTATAGTGTGAACTTTTAGTCCGTAAGCATTTGCATGAGCGTTGCTGGATTTCATCCTTTAATGCATTTTCAGTTTGGATGCGATTTTGTGTCGGTGATTTTGCGGGGAGCTACTTAATTTACCTGAAATAATCGATCCGTAAACATGACATACACACTTGGTCTTTAAAAGACCAAAAACATTCACTTGCCCATACCACAAACAGGTGCAAACACAACCGAACATAGCCAAACACAACAGAACACTACAGAATGGAACGAAACTAGAGTTCTTGAATTACTGCATGGTATTATAACTGTTAACAATAGGCATGGCCAGCAGAGCTATAAGCGAGCGCCGCATTCGTAAGCACTTAATTGTACGACAGGGAAATTAACATGTGCTTCTGCTCTGTTTCTGCTCTGTTTAAGTTCTTTGTGCTCTGTTTTTGCTCTGCTGAGGCTACTGTGTCATGTGCTCGCTTGTGCTTCGTTTGTGCATAAGTGTTTTGTATTGTTTTAATAGTTTTAGTTCGGATTTAAATTTTGTTGTCACCTTCCTTTTGCTGTTGTCGCAGCGCCTTTATTCACAGTGTGCGTACGGTGTGAATGATATTTTGAAAGGTTTTGTCGGTGTGATAGAAGGATTTCTACAAATGCTGCATATATTTAATATCTTAACATTGTTTTGCCAGCTAATTGCGGAAATGTGTTCACATTCGTACATGTACACGAAAAAAACGAGTCTGGTTAGAGTCCACATTGTCCGCCCGCGGCTTAAAGTTCAATTGCAATCTAAAACTCAACTACTTTCGCATTCATTTAAATCAATTTCTTTCTATAACAAAAAAATTTATTCTCCTCCGCAAACTATTTTTATTTATAGCATATATTTAGGAGCACGAAAAAGCATTTATTTGCATATTTATAAACGAGTAGATTAAAAAGCAGATGTACACTCAACTGTAATACAAGAAATAATCAAAACAATGGAAATATGTTATGTACTATTGGACCTACTATTAAAGCAAATTCAATTTAGTGCGAAACAAGTATTTGAAATTTTTTGTATTTATATCTTCTGCTCAAAAAGTATTCGGATTTTGTAAATAAAACACACAAATTTAAATTTTATTCCAAATTTATTTTATCTCCTTCCAAATTTGCTCCTTCTGAAGCGATACACATATGCCAACGCTTAACCCAATTTTCCATACACTTTTCCTAGGCCCATGAAGGTATGGCTTTTAGTTCCTTCAGCGAATTCTATTTTACCGATTCAATCGACTCAAAACGCTTACCACGAAGAGGCAATTTGAGTTTCGGAAACAGGAAAAAGTCGCACGGATCCAGATCTGGCGAATATGGTGCCTGAGCGATGACAGTGGTGCCGTGTTTGGTCAAAAAATCGCGTATAACAAGAATTTTCCATAGTAATAATCGCTAAATGCACTTGAGGTAGTCTCACATTAACAGCTGCTGTAAACAAACTAATTGACACATGGCGCTCAAATTTGTACCATATGTCAAGAAAGGGTGTACCAACATAACAAAAAAGGTCTATTACTTAAGGAGTAGTTAACAAACAACAAAATCCAAATACTTTTTGAGCAGAAGGTATATCCTTCACATTCCATAACTATGCAAATTTGTTTTGTATTAAAAGTTCTTGCTTAGGAAAGACGAATAAAATTTCCAAAAAAAATTGGTAGATTTTATCTAAAAAGATAAAGATAATCACCTATCGAAGTTAGGAACTCAATCCAACTCAGACTGAGATACTGTAGAAAAGAGAGAGTAACTACATACCACGTGCTTGGAGAGTGCCCAGCACTGATGCACTACCAGTAGAAACACCTAGGAGGGTATTTCATGAATTATAAGGATTCACGACTAGGAAAGATAGGCTCTATCCTCTGTCTTCCGTTAAAGAAATCAGACTTGGAGACACACTCTCCTCCGACTAAGGGGCACAATAGATCGGTCGCAGTGCACGATCTCTTTTTTTCAATAATAATAATACAAATCTTAAAAGATATGTGTTGCTAAAAGGTAAGTAACTTAACTCTTACAATCAACTGTCATTAAATTATTTACACATTTTCAATCCGCAAATTTGGATATGAATTCAGATTTTTCAGTCTCTCTATAACTCAAAAACTTGATAAGTTTCATATAAATATAGTAATATTATTTATTTTTTATAACCAAACATTTTTATAGTGTATTTTATCAGATTGTATAAAAAAGTAAACTAGCATCGATAGCCATCTTCAGGGAATTATTAAAGTATGTACGGAAATATTTTGTTTTTTTTATTTCTTTATGTACTTTAACAATTCCCTGCAGATGACCATCGATGGTAGTCAAAATATAGGATTAAAATAAAAGTAGAAATAGAAATAGAAGTTCATAACATTTACTAAAGTTCAGCAGCCCACCCATTCACTGAATCCTTCTACCTAAATGTCAAGTATTTTGCCGAATTTGATTAACCAATCAACAATTATTTTTCTGTACCTAAGTATTTGAATTACTTAAATTTTCCTCTCATATACTGAATCTCTTCTAAATTTGACTCTTACAATTTCTCTCCTGTACCAACCATAAAACTGAGATGAAAAGCCATCGCAGCGAGCCATACAGCTTTTCAATTTTGTGTAATATTTGTATAGATACTCTTTATTACTATATCAACTGCATTTTTACTTTCCGGATATATTTAGCTTATATTAAAGAGCACAAAATATCAACGACCCTCCGCATTTTTCCAAATGCATCAATGTCTATTATCTAATAATCATTTCTTTCATCTCAACTAAGTTATTCTCAATAATTACAATCAATAAGTACATTTCAGTTTGAAGAACTCCAAGTTCGGTACTTTATTCAACTCACAACCCACAACGTCAAGAGGAACAAAACAAATTGAGGGGGAGTGCTCGATACTATGCAAGACTCCAATAAGTGGCAAATGGAAACTATTATCAAATAAAAAGTTAATTGAAATCAAAGTAATGCATTTTAAATGAGGAAGTGCATAAAAAACATATAAATAAAAAGGAACAAGAACTAAAGAAGTGAATAGGTGAAAGGCATAGGGGAGAAAGAAGCAACTGAAAGCTGAAAGGGTTTGAAGTACTAGTTGCCCTGCTCTCTGAATATGTCCATGTAAACTTATACTTATACGTACTTTTGACCCTTTCATTTTACATTCATTATCAGTTGAAAGGAAGAAAAAATAAAGGAATTTTGTATTAAATGAAGGATTGAATGGAAAAAATAATGGAGTGGAGTAGGGGGAACTTTCAACTTTAATTTCCGCCAATGCAATGGAAGCTGTGCTGCTATCCACTGAGCCCATCTTTTGTTAACTTGATGTGCTCATCAAATCGCATTGAAAAACGATTCGAATAAGTGCTTTCATTGCATTTACATAATTTTTTTATAAAAGTGGGGGATTGTTCAAGAGACGGAAAAGAGGTTGTTCTATGTAAATGTAGAAGTGTTAGAAAATTAAATTAAAAGTATACGGTGAGTGCTGTAAGAGCTCTAAAAAAAAGGCGCTTGTTGAGATATGCAACAATACTTCTTTCTCAAATATATTTTTTCTTTATTCCTATAACTAACTCCTCGAGCAATGCTTAAAGTTTTCACAGAAGTGAACTCTTTGTAATGTGAAGTTATCCTATTCTCTGAATAGCGAAATATTTTGCAAACTCGGATATTATAATTAAAATATTATAAGAAAGTGGCATAAAAATTTCTATTCCCCATTAAAATTAAATAATTTGTCATTACAAGTAAAGATATATTCTTCATATATAAGTTAATATGTACAATTTTTTAACACACGTTTCGTTCAGTTCCATACCCATTACACTCTTTCCAATTTTTTGTCCGTTTGAAATAATACCGTACGTATGAACGGTATAAACGATTTAGGCCGGGACATGATAGTTGTGCGGCTTTCAATAGCTACGAACGATGAAAGTAATAAAATCCTACACACAGTTGGATCAAACAAAGAACATGCCATTTGAGTCCGTTCATAAGATCATGACTGACTGCCGAAAGACATCAGTTTCGTCCAAAAAGAGCATTGAAAGAAGAAAAAAGAAGTATGATTTTCCCAGCGTCTATGGAACGTAGCTTCGATAAATCTGACGATGCATGGTTTAACGGGTTCGATATGCAAATTAAGCACTCAGTAGTTAGTCAAGAATAGTCAAGAACTCAGTGGTTTTCACGAACTTAGTCACTTAATATTTTTATTTATATTATTATTGTTATTTAAATATTATTATTAATATTTCTTTTATGCTTGTACTATGTACCTAAAGTAGTTTTTTGATTTTCAAATACCCAAAAGTAATACTTATAATTAGCAATTTAATTCTTTCTTATAAATAAACTTTCTTTCTGAAGTACATACATCTGCCACTGCTCTCTACAATCTTGATAAAATTTTTAGGTGTCATTGATTCCGTATTTGTGTTCTTGCGTTTAAGCGTTTTTGCGTCAAAGGTTCTTTGCTTCTTTTGTTGTTCAGTAATATGGAATTCTTAAAATTTAATATAACATAAACTATTCATTTCTGTTCATTATAATATAATACATTATCAAAAAATTTTATTGTAAAATTGAATAAATGAAAATTTCTAATCCATCCAAATAGTAGAATTTCTTTAATTAATACTATTAAAGTGGTATTTCGAACGCAAGAAACGGAAAGAATGTTTGAACAATTTCTTTCGTTTGCTTGCGTGTTCCATAATCACGCATCGCATTCGTCGCATTCATCGCATTTATCGCATTCATCGCAGTCATCGCACTCTTTGCAGTTATTTGCCTTAACATGCTTGCGTTTAACTGGAACGGAGAAACGCAAGTATGCATTTGACGCAAAGCGGCAAGAATGCAATCATTGTACTTCGGCGCTTATTGATACAATTTATTCAGGAGTTACGGTTACAAAAATAGATATCTATATGCGTATATATATAAATTTAATTAAAAAGTTAATTATTTACAGAAATTCAAAAAGCAATTTGGATTAAATTGGATTAAACAGTTAACAAAATTAACAGCATTATCCATGCTATGTTCACTAACTAAATGATAACAGACATTCAGTGTTGTCGGAGACATGAGGATGCACAGATAGTAACATAGGACACAGCATTGATGAGCGGTGTATGGGGGATTAGCATGTGCCTAGATAACTACACGTAACTGTCACATTGACTGCGACACATTACTCGTATGTGTTTGTAAGTAAGTAGATAAATAGATACAATATTATGTGTACTCATATGATATATAGTAATAAGCAGCTGCTACTTACCCCTTCTAAGGTTTTTATGTTATGCAAGGCATCTTGTGCCTTCAAAGCGGCCTTGCGTGTGTAGTACGTAACGAAACAGCACCCTGTATACAGAGAAAAATAGAAGCAAAAAGAAACAAAATACATGTATCAGAAACAAAACATACACAAATCGACAAAATACTTTTAATTTTATTAAAATACATAATAAACTATGTAAACTATTATGTAAAATACAGGAAAGGATACAAGCGTTTGATTAAGTTTTGGATATTTGCTTAGCGGCATGCAATTTAATACTTACAATTTTGCCAAAATACTATTTTTTAAATTTAATGTTGAATATAATTAAGATATTAAATGTGTAGATACTCTATGCCATTATTTTTCGAGCAATTAACTTTTACAAATATAAGTGTATAAACATAATAATATGAAATGACATTGACAAAAAGTTTCAAGACAACTTATGTTTGCGGACAGGCACTATTAAACGTTTAAGGACCAGCGGCATATCATGCATTAATGCTTAAGCATAAGTACAGACAATCATATTCACTACCTAAGAACGAATCAGACGTTTACACTACTACACTACTTGACTTAAGTCAAATTATAACTTAAACATAAAACATTCGGATATAATAAAAAATACCTGTACCTTCCAGAGAGATATAAATGGAGTTCTGATCAAAACATTTTTATTTTTAAATAATTCTTCTTTATATACAGACAGTATATACAGACTTAATATATACAGTTATTCTTCTTTTGATCGATCCATCTAAATTTGTTTAGTTCGTAAAATATATATAATAGTTGAGGTAGTATCTTTAATATATGCACACATATTAATTAGTGCATATAATTTAGCAAAGTAATATCCAGTGGCTTCACTGGTTTTTTCATGTTTTGAGAATAGATGACGATGCTCTATCCCTAAAGGTAGTTAGTTAGTTAGGGTTAACGTAGAGGTTAACTATGTCTCTGATGAAGTGATCAGGTTGAGTGAACACAACACTTGATGTACGAGACTGCAGGGTTGTTGTAGCCATTAAAGTAAGTAAATAAGTAAGTAATTTATCAATTCTTTAATATATATTCTTATTAACTAAATTTTATCAATACACTATTGATTAAAATACAGATTTTCGTGAGCATCTTAAATTTTGCGTGTAATATTGCTTATGCATGGAACTCTAGATCCGACTAAGCCCTATCCATGCAATTTTACTAAAAAATCAATGTAGAACTTTGCTTTGTAAAAACTCTCGAATTTATTCTAGTTGCATGTTAAAAGTTGCGATATAAATCAATGTTGCAATCGTTACTTACTTACGAAAGTATCTTAACGATTCAATCAAAATCATAATCAATTTGAATTTCTATTAAATTGTGATTAATTTGGAGAAATTTCAGTTTATTTATACTATTATTATTATTAGGGGATGTGGCACTGCGACCATCGGGTCCATTGTGCCTCCTTCTGGGCTTAGAGTAAGTCCCTAAGCCCTGTTGCGTCAATAAAAACCTACTTTACAGAGTTTTATTGCCTCTTCCGTAAGAATATACACTCCCAGGAGTCTATTCCGCATGTGCAATAGTACAGAGCATTCTAACTGCACATGAGTGGCCAACTCCTCATTCTCTTCATAGAATCTGCAGTTTGCATCCGTTGATATACAATAAACTGAATTTTCTTTTATAATATATTTACGATCAATTTCTAAATATCTCAAGATACATCTATACGAATTTAGTCTTAATAGAATGAAATTAATTAAATTCGATTATAAAAGGTAAAAAAATAAGTTTATTACAGTCACCTTAATTAATAAATAGTTTAATAAATTATATCTGCTAATTCTGAACTTAATATATTAATAATTAATTCATTGTTTATTTACTCTTAACTCTTAATTATTACAACTCTTAACGCTGATTGTGGGTTTCCTCGAAATGGTTGGTTTCGTATATTGAAATGCACCTAAACTTGTGGTAACCTCTTTCAATTCAATTCAAATATACAGCCCTTTGCCATTAACTTTGATGTGCTCCAAGGGAAATAACTTAAGTTCTGGCCACTGATATTAAAATAATTTCTAAAATATTCGAAACGAATTCCTCGGTAAAAATTCATTCGAGAGTCATAAAGGAATTTCGGTCTTTACACCTGTGCTTACAGCAATAATTACATGGCATCTCTGTTGGAAGTATCTGCATAGTAATGAACCTCTAACTGACGTATTCAGTCAAATATTTGCTTAATATGCATACAATAATGGTTAAAACTTTTTCGATTCTATTTGGCCAACTAAACTTGCTAAACTATGTTGCCTGCAAATATTTGCAATACAATTTTTTTCTCAAGGAGCTACATTCAATTTGGACGCATACAAAGTTTTTCACAAGCTTACGCTTATAAGTTATTGTTTAAGGGCGAAAGAAATTAACTGAACAATTTTATTTCAGTTTACACATGTTTGATTGTAGATAAAATATGAATTATAGTTGAACGAGACAAAAAAACTCAAAATAAGAAATAATACCGAATAAAACAGTTTAAAGTAAATGATGGCAGTGAAATTTCTGGAAAAATTTCGATTTATATAGACTCCTGGTATGTAGCTGGTACAATTTATATGGTAAGCGATGTTACTCTTACATCGGTAGTGTTGATTTGATATAAAACTCATAGCATTTAACAGAAAAAACGAACTACAATTCCAAGACAACGTATGGGTCATCAGTTGCATAATTATCAAGACAGAGTGTCATTAATTTCACTGGTTCTTTCTCAAGCTATTTACGATTATTTTATATTGAATTAAATCTTATAATATATAATATATAATAATATATATAATAATATATAAATGAGTATATATATAATATACAAATGGTTGGAAGCAAACAGATCTACAACTAGAAAACAACTAGTCGACGACACGGATATAAAAAGTTCTGTATTTTATTTCTAAAAGTATTTGTAAACTGAATTATATATAATGGAATAAGTGTAAAATCCGTTAAGACTAGTTGTGTCAATTTACAAAATATTATAATTTGCTAGTTAAATTTTACACAAGTAGTCCAAGAGGCACTAATGTACTGCAGCGTTAATACATCGACTTCTGAATAGTTCTTCTACGAAGACTTCAGGCAATATTTCTCGCCCGCTTAATAATAATTTCTAATATATATAATAACATTCTCCGCATATAAATCTATTATGTCTTGCATTCGGTGTTTTCCATGTACAAAGTACATATTATACAGTTTCCAGGACCGTCTGTACGTGACTCGATTTCTTTATATTAGCATTTCACTCCGTTTTTAGTGTTTTGTGTTGTTGTTTTTGAAGCATTTCATATCTGCTCAGGCCAAATTACTTTTAACTTGTTCTGGGTATATCAACATAATAATATTTCTTTATGTTTGTAACTTTGATTATATTGCAATAGTGTTAGGAAGTGGATACGTGTGTACAGCTACATATGCTTATAGGAGCAAAAGGTTTGCCGAGCTCATAAATACATTTCGTAGAACCCAAACTATTTACATTAGCATAGGTAAATTCGTGGATGTGTGCGAGCAATAATAATAATATAAAATGTAATGTTGTTTTTAAATCGACAGGTCAAACCTGAACCTGCTATTGTTACTTTGCCCTTCCCATATTCCCATATAACTCTGCATGTTGCCCCACTTGTCGTAGGCATCCCTATGCAATTGCCATTATCAATGTTAATGTGAATAGTTTTTGTACTGTACCAATAATAATTTTGACAAAGTTTGGGCTTTAAAGATATTAGCCATTTAAAAGTTTGTGCGTTCGACACTCGGCATAAGTGAGTTAACCTGAGGCATTGCTTAAAAGGTTTTAGAACATTGAAAGTAAATTGCCCATATTTGGTCTAATACGTTTATGCACTTTGAAGCATTCTTGCGTACTATTTTACTAGGCTAAGTTGTAAAATTGTGAAAAGGGTTTCGCAACTTAACCAGAGTACTGGAAAAATAAATAATAATAATAAAAATCAACCACTTTACTGCATAGAAGCTTAACAGTAAGGTGGTCCCCGTAATTGCGCGTGGGAATAGCAGTGGCTTTATGTGATATTGTTTTTATTCAACCCTCTCTATTTAGTTTAATGATAGCACATATCATTCTATTTTATTTTATTCTTATTAATAATATTAACATTAAAGATTTCCTCTGTTTTATCTAACTTACCTCTGCTCACCGACGTTACTTTGTCACGCAGGACATTTAAAGTATGCACACGTCCGTATTGTTCAAACATTTTCCGCAATTGTGGCTCATCCCAAGACTTCGGAATTTGACCCACAAACATTTTTATATTATCAGGATCTGGTTCACTCTTGGAAAACTCATTTCCAGTATCAATACTGGTGTCACTTCGATTGTTGTTGTTGTTTCTTAGGACAAGCGCCAAATCATTCCCATCATCAGGACTTATAGAACTTGTATGTTCAGGAGTACCTAATCCCACAAAATCATTGGGAGGTTCATTATTTATATTTGCGTTTGTAAGATCTTCTTGTTCAGTATCCAAAGACATTTTTTCACTGAAAATAAATTTAAATTTTTTTATTTTATTCCAAAATATTGTTTTAATAAAAATTTAATGAGTATTCACCACATTTCAAAGTGGTGAGTTTATTAACAACTTGATGAAATATTATTGAAGCTATAGAGCAATATAAATATTTAGTAAAGATGGTATGAAAGCAATAATATTATATTGAAATACACAATATCTATAGCACTAGGAAATGGAAAATGTGATTTATATAAATAAACATTCAGTTTTTCAGATCCAGATTTCATACAATAAGTGCCAAATAATCACATCATTGAAAGTTATTCTTCGAACTTGAGCAGTACAGATGAATAATATTCTTCTGATATTTCTTACAAAATCTGTAACAGTCTATCAGTATTATTGAAAAAGCTGTTTTTGACAGTTGGTTATCCTATCCAAATCGATTAAGGTGGAGAAACTAGTTAGTCTTACTATTATCAGGTAGGAACAATCTATTTAAATTGTACAATATTATTTTTTCGATGTTTCAATCCAATAGTTTGGACGATTACTAATCAACGGTGATACATTTGTGTGACTAGTATATTCTCTCCAAGCTTCTATTCGGTATTGTGCTATATTGAGAAATATTGAAGTATCTAGCTATACCAGTTCTATAAAAGTGTGTTCATTGTCAAATCTAATAAATCTAAGTGCCATGACATATTGCTCCTTGGACAAAAGATATAGCTTCAATCGTTTCGTCTAAGAATCTTTTTATTGTTCATTCATTTTATTGTTCCTTAGGTCACTGCAAACAATTAGTATTCTTACAAATGCATCAAGTTTGGCAAAAATGTGAAAGAGTCCATCTTATAGTTTTTAGTTTTAAAGAAATTCAAAGATATTATATATCTCTGAATCATATGACTCATATTTTTAACAAATTTATTAGAAGATCGCCTTCAATAATCATTTTATGAGATTGAACAAAACTCTTTCAAATTATTTTATTAGTTTTTAATTTGAATGAAAAGATTCACTCCACTCAGACACTATCTGAGGTAAGTCTTAGGTTTTTTACTAAAAACATTGCCGTCGTTGTTATAAAACGGGGCTGTAAAATATACTTCTAACAAGCTTTGATTCTAGAGTTTAATTTCGAGTTCAATGAGAGCAAAAAAATATGAAGTTAAGTTCAAGAAAAATTCATTTAATTAATTGCGATCGTTAGTAATAGTCTAAAATAAAATGAATTCTCGGAAATTGTTAACTACTTTATACTAAAAATTGACTTTAAATAGCAATATTCGGTACATAAACTCAATTTAATTTGAAAAAAACTGAACTTATCTTAAATACTCTAATCATATAATTCATAAGGCCTTGTATATTGTCCGTTTAAGTTACTATAAACTCATAGCTTATCAGTCTTCATTCGTTTACTGGAATCATTATTTATTTTCAAAAAAAATAGTTATCAAAATTATCATTAAATTTAGATTAAACAAAAGATTAGTTTTATAAGTAAGTATAGTTTTAAATTGCCTTAATAAATCAATAAGCATTATTTCATTACTAAGTTTCACTGAAATTAGCAAATTTTTAATGCAATTCAATGCATCAATAAATCTAAAGTATATTCCTAGCGTATGGAAGATCGCAGAGGTGAAAATGATTCAAACACCGGGCAAGCAGCTAGAATGCATATCGTCAATTCACCTATTTCAATTTTACCAAATTGAAACAGCTTTTCGAAAAGCTATTTTAAAAGAGACTAATGTTTATAATAGAATCCAAAAAGCTAATACCAAACCATCAATTTGGTTTTCAAGGCAGTACACCGCATTGTCAATGAAATTAATAGGGCTATTGAAGGTAAAAACGTGTGTTGTGTCGTATTCTTCAATGCCGCACAGGTTTTCAACAACGTCTGGTATAAAGGTCTTCTGAATAAACTAGAAACATAATATGTGAATTTGAAATCTTACATTACGACGAGGTTTTTTATGTAAAACACGAACACTGTTTAACAAATCTATCTGCGATAAAATCTGATGTACCTCAGAGAAGTGTACTCGGTCCACTACTACATCTCTTTTTTACTATGGACTTGCCAATAACACCTGAAAGTAAAATTGCAATATTTGCAGATGATACTGCAATTTTGGCGATTGCTGACTCCGCTGAAGAAACAATAGCCAAATTACAAACAGCTACAGATTTGTTAGACAATTGGACAAAAAAAATAAAAAAAAACTGAAATTGGTAAAATACTATTGCTATGCCAGTTCTGGAGGTCCTCATTCGTTGATCGCGGCTTGTTTTTATTCAGAAGACCGGCTCATATCTCAAAAATTAAAAATATAAGCAAACGAGTGCTGGTCACGATGCTTGTAGGAAATGCAACGAGCCGGTTGCAGAGGAAACTCTGGAGCATCTGCTGTGTAACTGCTCGGCTCTCTCGAGAATTCGACAAAAATACTTAAGGGCTATCAATTTTACCGGACTGGAGCACATACCTGACGTTTCTGTTGAAATTCTAATAAAATTCGCTAATAAAACGTGCATCGTAAATGATGCACACAATCGCTACAAACAAGACTCTGATCTGGTATCGCAATGGACCTTAATGGTCTAGATGTGGTCTTTTTCATACCAGGGTCCACTAAAAAGGAAAACCTTTTTTTCAACTATCTTTAGAATGTCTTTTTATTCCAGTGGGTTCGACTGTAAAATATTGAAAATTCTTTGATTTACTTTTGACGGCACGGATTGTGATCTCAAACATTATTCGGCATTTTTTTTCAAATCAGATTTGTGATGCAAATCAGATAAAATATCTTCTTCATGCATAAATAAATAAATTCACTAATTTAGTTTTATCAACAAACAAAAAGCGAGAAATAAAAATTTGGAAAAAAATCTGATAGTTCAAAAGTCAATTGTTCCCCTAGCGACATGATATCCCATCAAAAAGTTTCTTCCGAAAAAAAAAACAAAAAAATTTCTAGCAAAGCTAGAAAAAGATACAAAGAAAGGAAAAACAGGCAAGCAAACAGAAAAACGAAAGTAAAGTAAAACCAAAAACTTATATAAAAGCGGGCTTAATATGAACACAGTAAGTTAAGCCAACAACAACAACAACAACTGCAGCAACAATAATAACAGTGACCACACCATGTAAATGATATTGTTGCTATAACAAAATAAATAAACACACACACACACACACACACACACACATACACTCATTAAAGCGAAAAGTAGAAAAGCAAAAGAAACGACAATACAAGCAAAACTGTTTACAACTTTTAGATTAGATTAGTTCAGCAATAACAATTAGTGAATTTATTTTATTTGGTATGAAAGCACATATTGTGTTGTTGGTGTAGTTATCACAGTTATTGTTGCTGTTGCGTTGTTGTAGCGTTGTTGTTGTGTTTTATTGTCATTAGCAAATTAAGTTACATTATCAGTTTGGGTAACAGAAATAGCGTTAGCAGCAAAGAAACAAAAGCGTCAGCAACAAAAACAAGTGCTATTTAAGTAGGAAAAATTTGTTAAAAATGTTAATGCTGTTCTTCTCTCTCTCTCTCTCTCTCTGTGTGTCTCTTAATAAAAAACAAAAACAACAATAACAACACACGCAATAGAAAAAAGTTTTCAACAAAGTTTAATGATTATTTTCATTATAATTGTTAGCTTGTTTTTTGTTCATTTATTTAGCATTTTTTCTTCTAACATATAAATCCGATTTCTGTTATTGGCAAATAAAGAAAAACTTTTCAGATTGCGGCCTGCATAGAGAGCAGCAGCGGAGCAGATCCATTTATCTATATTTAGCTGGGAACGTTTCAGCTTCAGCTTCAGTTTCACCTTATGTGTGTGTGTGTGTGTGTGTGTGTGTGTGTGTAGGAGGTATGTGTGTTGTAAAACAATAGCTTTGAGCCGCAAATGAGTTGGAGACAAACTTTTCGCACCGAATTGCGTTTTATTTATTTTGTGGCATTCGGAAAAATTCAGGAAAATGAATAGGCCAGGTGCTATTGCGGCGGGGATGCGGATGCGGATGCGGAAGCAGCTCGAAATGTGGATGCGGGTATGGTTGCTCATTTGGTTTTTTGGAGTTGAACTCATGTACACACACACATTGTATTTTACTCTGTCAGAGACTAATGCAAATTTTAAATATTTAGTTTTGTTTGGTTTTCGAAAATTGGTCATTTAAATCTGTTTATTTTGTTTACAAAGTTGAAATAAATGGTTTTGGTGTTGGTATAGGAACTAAACGAATTAAATATTTGTGTTTATTCACTTTATTCATGAAGCACGAAAGAAAAATATTTTAACAGTTCATTTCCTTATGTTTTTCAGATTAGAAATGCACTTTTGTAAACTACAGATTTGACTTTGAAGTGAAATGGTGGATCATTGTTATATACCGATGCAAAAAGTGCTATTTATCTCACTCTAACAGCTTCAAACTGGTCTCAGAGGGATTGACACGGCACCTAAGGAGTTCAAAGGAACTTCTAATAGACAAATGTTTATGGACAGGTGCAATATTTGAAACATATTTTTTAATTTATGCTGCTGTTCCTAACAGCTCCAAACTGCAGAATCATTGACACGTCAGAATCATTGACACGACACTTACTTCCAAAGGATCTTCTCACAGACAAATGTTAATGCTAAATAAATCTAATACGCTCTGTTTATAGAACTAGTGCAATATTTGCATCATATTCTATTAAATATCCTGCTGTTAACAGATCTCTGACCACCGATCTAGTTTTCTTAACGAAAATAAAAACTTTATAGATGGCTTTTGAAGTCAAAGGATCCGTGCTTTGTGTTATAATATAAGCGAAATCAAGACGACTCATTTGCAATAAGTGTAACCTTGACATAAACCTTGATTTATTAATAGGCACTTTAATTTAACCTAATTTTACTGTTATATAAAATGCGTCCGATCATGCATTTGACTGTTCTTTTACACCTCACTGTTTATAATAGATTTATATGTAGGTGCGTATG